AGGTTTTTGTCATGCATCCTGATGACTCGACTCCTCCTATGATCCACAGAGCCTGGTCTATAAAATGAGACTCATCGTTTCTAGGATGTGCGGGAGTGTGAAGGTTAAGGGAGCTGATACAGGTCTAGCACTTTGGGGGATGCTGTACAGCACTTTATAGATGGCAGCAGGTCTTACTGTCCCACAGGTGAAAAATGAGGTTCAAAGAGGCGGGGGTGACATGGCCCAGGACACTGCACTAATAAACAGAGGCCCAGATTGCCAACTCCCATCTTTAATCTCGTCTCTCCTGCTCCTTCCAGCCCTGATCTGGACGGAGGAGAAGCTAGTACAGAGTGTGCTGAGTAGGCGGGTGGGCTTGGGACAGAAGGGCTGAAGGATGCAAAGTCTAGGGTTTGTCAGCTGGGTGCAGGGACAAATAAACCCCATCTTATTTAAAATCTCTCTCAAGCCTTGGAGTTTAGCTTTCCCCCACATCTTCAAGCTAGAAACTCAGAAAAGTGCTTGGTTTGGGCCCAACACGGAACCCTGGAGGCTCAAGTGCCCCCTGAGATAGTTTTAGAATGAACCCGTGCTTGGGGCCTTCCAGGAAGCACTGGCTCCTCCAGGAAGCCCACCCTGATTTTCTGACAATTCCTTTCTTCCTCTCACTTTTGTTCAAATTCCCAGAGTCCCCTGTATCTCTCCATAGTAGGAACTGCAGTTTGCTTCCCACAGACCAAGAGGTCTTCACCTTCTTTGTGCCAGGAGCATTTCCCTTAGAGGGTAACAGAAGTAAAGGTGTGATCTTCTCTCCAACTCCAATTGAAAGACCTCCTGGATCCCATCCACAGGACCATCGAGGTCATTTCTAGCATCTCCCAATCTCCCCTCCTCCAGTCTTACCCCATGTCTAGTCTTGTGGCCCCTGGTGACCTCAGGGCCTGGAGCACAATAGGTGCCTGGTTTGTGCCTTTTGGAGTGAAACTGGGCCTTTCATGTCCCCTCCAAGTGCAGACTTGCCCCAGCTGGAGGCGCGGGGGGGGGGGGCAGTCTGTGGAGGGGACAGTGACCAGATGCTTCCTGGAGGAGGAAACACAGGTGCTGCAGTGCCTCACGGGGGCTCCTGCTTCCCAGCAGCTGCATGGAGCTGGGCCTCTCCCTGCAGAGAGGAAGGTGGGTCCCAGGCTGTGGGGCTCAGGGGGGGCTTTCAGCCCCTTTCACGCTGGGCACCCCGGTTCCCGAGCAGCTTGTTGAAGGCTTTGGGCCTGGCCTGTAGGCTGCCGGCAGCATGTGCTTTCCTTCTTTGGCCCCACCTGGGCGTGGCTGTGTGCCCCTGCCCCAGCCTGTTTAGCTGAAGCTGTCCTGCTTGACAAATAGGCCATTTGCTTCCTGCGCTGGAGCTGGAGTGGCCGGCCGCCTGGGGAAGGGCTATAATTAGCAGAGAAGAGTGGATGTGATCGCACACTGGCATTGACAGTTAATTTTATAGTCGAATGGAAACATAAACTGATGTCATCGGAGATGTAAATATCATTTGGAAATCTTGAAGTTTCTGGGAACCGAGGAGCCCAGATCAGCCTGTGCTGTGTGGGGAGCCGCCTTGGGGTTGCCTGCCAGGCCTCTGGGAGAGCTGGGGTGGCAGCACCTCGGGGTGGACCAGGAGGAATGGGCCGTGGGTACCCAGCGGTGGGGGAGTCGGGAGGCGTGGGTTGGCATTTGCCATGATAGCTCTCCCTATGGCTTCAGTGGTCTGGAAATGGTGTGGTGCTTTGCAACAGGAGGGCGATGGGAGGAAGTTTTGTTTCCTGCCGACATGCTGTTTTGGAGTGGGCCCTGGGGCTCAGGGGAGCTTGTCAAAACAGAAGCTGAGTTCTGCCTCTATGGAGAGGGCTGGGGTCAGTTCTGCTCAGAACTGGGGCAGCGACAGCGCTGGTGTTTTGGAGATGGTTTCCAAAGCAGGACACCTTACCTCGGAAGCACAGCCTCGGGGGGGAGTGAGGGAGGGGGGTCGCCATCCTGCCCGAGAAGAACTATTTTCTTTGTTTACAACAGGAAACGTAGGACTCTCAAAAGTATATGGGTCAATTGTGAAAATATTAAGATGGTTCAGTGACAGCATGAGGATTACACTTTTCATCAAGATGGAAAATGAGCCCTGGCTGGTTTGGCTCAGTGGATAGAGCGTCAGCCTGCGGACTGAGGGTCCCGGGTTCGATTCCGGTCAAGGGCACATGCCCGGGGCTGTGGGCTCGATCCCCAGTAAGGGGCGTGCAGGAGGCAGCCAATCAATGATCCTCTCTCATCATTGATGTTTCTCTCTCTCTCTCTCCCTCTCCCTTCCTCTCTGAAATCAATTATATGTATAAAAGATGGAAAATGAGCCCTGACTCTGTAGCCCTCAAGTTCACCTCGTCCTCACAGTCACTCTCTGCCTGGGCTCTGAGGACTGTGCTTCCCTGTGGGGTTCTTCCTTAACCATAATCCTCAGCCTTGGGGTGGAGGGGTGGCCGCCTCTGTGTCTGGCTCAGGGTCAGGGCTGAGTGAGTGATTCTTTGCAAGTGCAGTGACCAGAAGCGGGGACCTGGCTTCCTAAAGCTGCCTGCCCTTGTTCTCAAAGGCCCCACAGGGCTTAGGCTGATCTTGAACAACGATTTCACCATGTTCTGGGTTTTGGAGCATGAAGTGACCAGATAGTCTTTGTTTAACCTTTCTCTTACAAAGGTAGGTTTCATTTCCTGGGATCACCATTTTCCTGGGTAGGGCTGTGTGTGCATTTGTGCCCTGCCTTATAAATCTTAACGTTTACCCAAGTGGGTGAATTTGATAACATCATTTTACAGTTTTCCTGATATGGCCATGTGTGAATAACTGGCTTACCACTGAGTTTGTCAATGCCTTCAGCACTTCCTGGCCCGTGTGTACTGGAAAGACATTCCTACTAGACTTGGGGAGAGTGGATCTCTGTAACCCAATTACCTTTTCAAACCAAAGGAGTGGCACTTAGCTGTGAAATACAGCAGACTGCGGACCCGAGGGTGAGGATCCTGGCTCCCTGGTCATCCTGTTACCTGGTGTTTCTAAGTAAGGTTGGTCTGTGTGACATTTGGCATCCTTGCCCTTACCCAGGACAGTCTTTAGAAAGAAGTCAAAGGGATCCTTTTGGAGGGCACGCTTAGCCAATTGACGGCTGGGTAGGCCAGTAGCTGCAGGGACAGCCTCCTCAGTGTTCCGGATGTTGGCTTATCTGTGCTCATGGCACATCTTGCCAACATGTGAATTATCCCCTCACTTCCTTTCCTCGGGCTTAGCCGGCAGCACCCTGTCTTCTGGTTATGCTCCCACATTGCCTTCCGCTCAGTGGAGGAGTCCAGGGTCTCCAATGATCTGCCTCTGCCCTCGGGAGTGTGTGGCCTGGGAAGCCAGAGTCCTTGGACAGGCAAGAGACGTGGTAGAAAGCATTGACCTCACACCCAAGGGGGTCTGTTGGGAAGCCCAGCTGGCATCCATTCAGCAGACATTGGTTGTAAACGCTGATTGTACTTCCTAAATGTCAGGGCTGTCCTGGCTGTTGGGGATGCCCGAAATAGTAAAAAAAAAAAACAACCCCTCCTGGCACAGAGCTTATATTCTTGTGGGGAAGACAAACCATTACAAAATCAAAGGGAAAAAGTCATATGCTGGCAAGTGCAAAGGAGAAAAATCAAACAGGGAAATGGGATCAGGGTGTCAGGAGGCTGGATTCTTTCTTAAATAAGATGGCCTCCCGAAAGGCCTCACCATGCACAGGTGACAACTGAGCAAGGGCAGGAAGGAGGTGAGGGAGTGAGCCATGTGGATTTCAGGAGGAAGCGCGTTCCAGGCAATGGAACAGCCTGTGCAAGGCCCAGGTTCTCTGACCCTCCACCGGGCATTCCCCCTGACTCACCAAGACTTTTCCCGAGATTTCCAAATAGGGTCTATATTGTTTGCTAGGGCTGCTATAACACAGTACCACAGACTAGGGGGCTTACACAACAGAAAATTTTAAATTTTATTTATTTATTTTTTAATTTTTTATTAAGTTATTACACATGT